TCATTTTATATATAAAAAGACGTACACACAGGGATTATATGAGATATAGGTATGAAGTGATAGGACATGATGTTAGGAACGTGTGACAACTTACATGATGATAACCTGATGTAGCTCGTATTCCTTCGACCCCTGGATCTCACAGTACGACACGGAGGATTGGAGATGGAGCTCGTTGGCCACTGGAACACAACCGTCCTTGGTGTTAGAATGGAATCAATTGTGATTGGGGTACAGAATATAGGGATAAGACCATCTACCATTTTCTAAATTATTTCAATTTATATTAAAATAGGGAAAACTAACCACACAATTCCTTAAACGAAAAAAAGCATTTATTTTTACTAATGGAGTGAAGAAGAAACCAAAAAATCCTATAATTGATTTTTTTTAGCCTTAAGCTATAAATAATTTTTATTTTGTTTTAATTAAAATAATTATCATTGTGAGTTTTATTAATATAATTCTGCGCTTATAATTATAATAGTTTTCTATACTATAATGATAGGGAAATATTGTCGAATGACGAAGGGCTTTAATTAACTGGTTAAACCTCCAACAAATTTGTTCTCACTCCTCTACAACTCGTCAAAACGCCTCTCCCGTCAATATGACACGAAACCCTACGCGTAACTTCTGACTATTAGTTTGATTTCTTTTTTTTATTATATTACCGATTACACCTTAGCAAAAGTTATGAGTCTAACGCTACATAAGTTGCATTGAATTGTGCTGTTTTAAAGTCAATCCTTGTATGAGTGACAATAGTGTGACGCCACAATAATATAAACAACTAGTCTATGTGGTTATGTGTAATGTATTTATATTTAAAATACTTTATTGCAAGCGATATAAAAATACACATGACGAGTCAAGCCTCGAGTGATAAAATTCATTTATATACAGTATATATACAGGGTTCGGTATAAAGTCATTATCAAACAATGTGACTATATTATCATCACAATTATCTAATATTCATAGTTTCTACACCTAATAAATATTTTATTTACACCGTCTATACACTCATGGACAAAACTTAAGGAAGGGAAAAATTTTGCATATCGACGGTGATCTGTTTCTTTTTTAAGGAGACAGGGGCAATTTTGCTTACACTTGATTATCTCGTGTGTCTTCAATAAAGGTCACTGTAATATCTTCTAGAGTTATTGTCGTGATATACCATGGTACATACTTAAATGTACAACTTCCTTAAGTCCATGAGTGGATATAAGCAGAGAAGACAGATCAATACAATCCTTCTATTTGGTCGGGTAGACTAGACTGGCGGCACCGCTGAGATGATTCACCGCTGATGTCAGGCTTTCACATCATTTTACACTTTCCCTTGTTGAAATATTAGAGTTACAAAATGTCATTATTTGTCATATCTCTGTTAACATTATGTCATCCAAAGACATTGACACAGATCTGAAACTACTCCCAGCTCGACTACACTCTGGTATATATATAGTGGTTGACTTTTCTTGATTTATCAAGAAATTGGGTTGGCCAAATATCATGAAACAAGTTAAATAAACGTTTAGTTGATTTTTCTTCCACTAGATGGCGCTCTGCCATCTAGAAAAGCTCATGTGAGCCTGGTCAGGATATGCCTTTCTGTTTTTAATATCAACACCTGACCCTTTTTATATATTTTTAATTTTTTATTGTTTTTTTTTTTCACATATATGCCACAACATGGCGCACTTACCGCTCTTCGCGAGGTTCTCGACGTCCTTGAGGGAGCAGGTGGAGGGCAGGCAGACGCCGGTCTTGTAAGCCAGGAAGTAGAACATATGGGCGAACCGAGCAGCCGACTTCATCATCTGTATCGACAACAGTTAGCAATCGCCGTAGACATGGGCAAATCTCTGCAAATATAGTCAGCACGTTGAAAGGCTTTGACCCAAACATATAGAAACTTTATTTAACAAAGAAAGGATAAGCCACAACAAATTAATACTAATCAATAACGCGACATCTATATATAAGAAATAAAGACATTAATACGCGAATGTTTCTTTTGCAAATGAATTAAACCCCTACTGTCCCCATCATGATGAAAAAAACCATAGCCAAATAACCAAGCTCTCCCAATATATTTTTTCATCGCGGTGGAGACAGTAGGGGTTTGATTTATTTGTAAAAGAAGCATTCGCCTATTATTGTCTTCATTTCTTTCGACAAAAACATTATAAATAAAAGCAATGGGTGAGGTGTCATGGAATTTAGTGGACCTTAAAGTCTAAAACACTTAGATGGGTACCCAGAATTTTCAAATTTTTCATTATGAAAGCATAAAAAAACTACATTCCACTCATGAACAAAACTAAAGGAAGATGAAAGTCTGATGTCGCCTGTCGTCTGTATTATTTTTTTTTAAGGAGACAGAGGCAATTTTTTTCACACTTGATTATCTCGTGGGTCTTCAATAAAGGTCACTGTAATATCTTTCAGAGTTATTGTCTGAATTCCGATAAACATTCTAAAAGGTACAACTTCCTTAAGTTTTGTCCATGAGTGTATATAGAGTCTGTGTTGAGTTTAAATGAGGAAGAAGAAAGGTAAGGAATGGGAACTTACAGTACTCTTTGTGCTGATGTTCTTCAGGCTGTCGATAGTACCGTCCATGCGGTAGAACCGTGGCTTGGGAGGTAGATAGGGCTTCACTTCGACCATACAGTACTGGCCACGGAACCATAGGGGGCCTTGGTCCTTCGCCGGTCTGGCTTCTACCTTCAAACATTGGTCGAAGGATCCCATGGCACTAAGAGTCCCTGACATTAATCCTTCTGGCAGTTTGCCGGTCGAGTCCATCACTGGAACGTACGTAACAAGTTAGTGAAGGCTGCAAGCTCCATAATTGTCCACCTCACGAGATGTTGAATATATGCACATCCTCCCACAACTGGATGATCTAAGATTACCACAACCATCTCCAAGAATACGCTAAACGTGAACGCTGTATATCCCTATTAACATATTGATCGAAACATTCAGTTATTATTTAAATTGCAAAACGCTATGTTCAGCAAGAGAAACTTTCCCCAAGTAAAGTATTTTTTAGTAAAACAAAGTTTTTTTTGCCTATATATATATATATCTTTCTTTGTAAAATTAGTTACAATAAAACTATGCAAAAAAGAGAGAAAAAGAGAATTTCTTAAAAATAATAGACATTTCGGTCATGAAAAGTTTAATTTTCTCGATGTTACGATAAAAAAAGAGATGAATTTATAACGCTTAGCCAAATACTTTATTTTTTTCTTTACGAGGGCAAAGGTTTTGTCCAAACGTCGAGAGAATAAAACTTTCTGGACGAAGTTATTTTTAAGAACTATGAATGCGGCCAGGTAACCTTTATCTTAAAAAGAGAGTGTTTAGAACTTATTTTCTTCATTTTAGTTCGATTATTGATAGGTGCATATTCCTATGAATATTCACAAAGAAAGTACTTACGATAGAATTGCATTAAGCATTCATAAACACTAGAAACAATCACGATAGATGATAGCTATATTTAATGTTAAAGACAATTCAATACATTTTATTAACACTTTTAGTTAATTGTTACAAGAATCAAAGATAATTGAACAAATATAAATGTGATTATTTACAATTTAGTGATTAAATATAAAAAAGCTGTTCTCAGGAAGGGAGGCTCCTCTATCTTGACCTCCTCCAGACAAGGACAGGATCTCTCAGTTCAATGTTGAGATAATACTTATAGAGACATGTCTTGGTAGATGCCAGGATGGCCAGGGTGTCGTCATTTAATGTTGAAGAGAGTTATAATATAGACTGGGGGGTCGGTGGAAGGCTGGTTAAACCGTTTGGTTTTCGACCACTAGGACCCGGGTTCGATTCCCGCATTGGACACTTTTTTCTGTTTAGAAAAAAAAAATGCTCCAATGGCCCCCGATTCTTGCAAAAGTCCAACCCCACCAGCGAGTGCAAGTAACCAAACGGGGCTCTGGCATTTGTAAGTGCAAAGTCGAACTGCTTTTCACATGTGTAGACATGTGGTGCGCTTACAGTAAAAGCAGTCGCTAACTACCCACCATGATTATCATGGCCTGTACCACGTGTACTAGGGATAAGCAAAAAAAAAATATATATATATATATGTTATACTGAAATATTTTATTTAAAATTATGTTATATTAAAGAATTATTTTATTTAAAAATATATTTCATAGATATAATACTGCTAAATCGACCGCCAGAGGTCACTCTTCCCATATAAAAACTCGTTGTTGTTCTATCCTCGTTGGCCGACCCAAAACTTTGTAATTATATAAATAATATTTTTGTTTTAATCATTCTTACGCCTTAAGCCAGGCCGTACTTTTACAGAATTATGTTTATCCTATAGCACAATAAAAACAATTACTTATCAAAACCAATATTTTTATTATTATTTCTAGATTATTCAACCACGACTGCACCACCATAGCATAATCATCGATATGATCCAAAACAACGGAAATAATATCTTTTTTTTTTAAATATAATATATATATATATATATTCAACAAAGAGAGATATTTACTGATAAATAAAAGATGTGACCTAGGAAGGAAAAAAGGAACAAATATGGGATGATATAGGACAACGACTCAAGAGAGTATAGCCTTGTAGAATTCTATTTCAGGGTAAATTAAGAAGGAGGCTAAAGACTTAAAGAGAGAGACTATACTAAATATTGGAGGTTTCATTGATATTTATCAGTTTGCTAGGGTCGAATCTTAAAGACATTGGCAGTACGACTGTACAACAAAGAACCATCATAATGCTGTGTCAAGACGATTTTAAATAAACACTAAAATTAAATTTCAAACAATATGCGTTAACAAGCTCAAACATGTGGAAAAAGAGGAAAAGGTAAAATAAAGGTAAATATTTTAAGTTTTATCACCAGAAAATATCATCCAAGAATATAGGTTTCTTATTTTTTTACGCAGAGTTTTTAAAATTATATTCGAGGTTGCAGTTTCAATAGTGATCTGCAAGGATTTCTTTTGGATGAAATTAAAAAAAAACGTTTAATTTCGATCGCGATATATTGATTAAAAAAACTTGGATTATCAAAATCGAAAATTTTAATCTCTTATTTTATTTTATATCGGCAAAATATCATCCAGGAGGATATGGGTGTTACTTATAATATAGAGAAATCAAATATAAGAAACCTTTCCACACATATCCTGAGTGACTTCTGTCAAATAAAAGGATTCAAGGTTTTCGTATTCAAATATTAATTACATGATATGCGCGCGTCATCTGTATTATAAATTATTAACAATTTATTCGCGTTTTTTTAAATAAATAGTCACCTGCTGCCCTTACTACCTGCAATGATAAAAATGCTATAATTTTAAAAATACGAGTAAATACAAGGTTTTCCCAAAATTTCGTAAACACTTGCAAAAAATTGAATTACAAAGCAATAACGCGCAATCTATATGTGACAAATGAAAACATTAAGAAAACATTATAACAATGAGAAGAATATAGATGACAATGTATATTGACTATATATTACTACATATATTTGTTGTATTATAAGTCAGGAGGAATCCTCGAATCTGTACTACGTCACTTGAATCTCAGTTCCAAGGATAGATAGACCAAGGATTAGTGGAGAGCTAGATAAAAATGTGCAATTTGTTGCTGGCCTGAATCATCCAATGTGACAACCACAATCCATGTTTATGACCCCACAATCTAACAAAATCTTGTGAAAAAATTGTTTCCTTTTTGCATAAGTCTATTCACATTAGTGAAGGAAGATGATCAAACGGAAACCTGACAACTGGAACTACAGATGCTTCTAGAGGAATAGTCAGTGGTCATAATACTTGGATTATCATGCTTATGTTATATTTGGAGACACGTGGATCTCTGATTCTCTTAGTGATTAAGAACAAACGAAAGTTATCCAGTAGAGAAAGCAAGAAACGTCGCTCCACTGAGAATTTCTGCTTCCACAACAAGGAATAGTACGGGTTAGAGTTTTTGGGCAACGTACGAAGGTGTGTTCAAAAAGTATCGCGACTTTTGTGTTTTTTCAAAAATTATTTATTTATTCATGAATACCTATTTTGTCCCCTTCAAAGTAATCCCCATGAGATATTATACACTTGTGCCAACGGTTTTTCCAATCTTCGAAGCACTTCAAAAACATCATTTTAAAAAAATCTTTTTCAGCTCCTCCTTCGATGCCGTCTTTATCTCGTCAAGCGTAGCGTAACGTCGTTCTTTCATGGGCCTCTTCAGTTTAGGGAATAAGAAAAAGTCACAGGGGGCCAGATCTGGGTAATACGGTGGCTGCGGCATCATTAGTGTGTTGGTTTTGGCCAAAAAGTCGCGCACAAGCAACGATGTGTGAGCAGGGGCGTTATCGTGGTGCAAAAGCCAATTTTTGTTCTTTCACAAATCCGGGCGTTTCTGGCGGATTGCTTCGCGCAAATTGCGCATAACTTGCAGGTAATATTCCTTATTGACCGTTCTACCCTGTGGCAAGAACTCATGATGCACCACGCCCCTGCAATCGAAGAAAACTGTCAGCAAAATTTTCACATTCGACCGAACTTGGCGCGCTTTTTTCGGTCTTGGTTCGTGCGGCAGCTTCCATTGAGATGATTGAGTTTCCTCGTCATAACCATAAACCCACGCTTCGTCACCAGTTATGACCCTCTGGAGCAAATTTGGGTCGTCGCGGACAGAGTCCAACATCTCATTAGCAATGTTCATGCGATGCTGTTTTTGGTCGCAATTGAGCAATTTTTGTACGAATTTCGCGGCGACCCATCTCATGCCCAAATCATTGATAAAAATCGAATGGCACGAGCCAATCGATATGTTTAGGTCATCAGCAACTTCTCTAACGGTGATTCGACGATTGGCCAATATCATTTTCTCCATTTCATTAATTTTTTCGTCTGTTGTTGAAGTGCTCGGGCGTCCGGCACGCTCTTCGTCGTTCACATCTTCTCGGCCTTCTGAGAACATTTTGTACCACCGATAAACGTTGCTTCGGTCCAAGGTAGCTTCTCCGTATGCCACAGTCAACATTCGGAATGCATCCGCGCACTTAATTTCGTTTTTCACACAAAATTTGATACAGGTTCTTTGATCCATTTTTTTTTTAATAGGTAAAAATCGAAGACGATCCAAAACACCTGCAAGCAAAGCAGCTGTCAACAATTAAGTGAACATTCAAAATGGCCGAGCTTGTCGGCATAAGTGAGAGAGATGAGTACCAACATAAAGCCACAAAAAGATCGAAATTCGAATATGCGTAACCCGCGAAAATTCAAAAGTCGCGATACTTTTTGAACACCCCGTATCCTCGTATACCTATTATAAAGGTATTAAATCCCATTATCAAAACTGTATAAAGCAAATCAAAATAAATACACTATTAAAAATTGGCTCTATACTAATAACGCATGCTGCGCATCTTTTTCAGACTATAATTTCTGAACAACTCATCCACCCATCATTCACAATTGATTACAGAAAACTTTCACAGCGTCAACAGGGGTCTGATAAAAGAGGCCAACAAATAAAGCTGCTGATAAGAGTGCATGAAAGTACATATAAGTTCATATGAATATATTGTTAGTGATATATCAATTTAACTAAAATAAAATTCGGTATTTGAAAAAGCTATGAAGAGAAGGTACTAGCGGAATTAGAGAAATTATTATCGAAATTTTCAATTTCGGTCAACTTTGGGAACGATTGTCTATCACGTTCTACGAGGTGGAAAGTTTCGCGTCCAATAAATAGGAAATAGACAGTTCAAGCAGCGAGATCTTCTAGACCTGTGCTTCGTCTCAGTTCTAAAGAAAGCCGTAACGAATCTTTCTCACTATTTACCCTAATTTTTCTTTTCAAACAAAAAAAAAATTGCATAGTTACATACAGGCCATGATAATCCTGGTGGATAGTTAGCGAATACTTTTATTACAAGTGCATCACGTACATATGTGAAAAGTAGTTCTATTTTTGCACTTACAAGCGTGCCTGAGTCCCGTTTGTTTACTTGTTCTCACTGATGGGGCTGGGCTTTTACAAGAATCGGTGGCCATTGAAGCATTTTTTTTTTTCAGAAAAAAAGGGCCCAATGCGGGATTCGATCCCAATTCGTGGCTGTCGATATTGGATGGTGTCTCTATCTCCAACCCCCTTTGTGTTATGAGCCCACAACTACCAAATTCGTTATTAACTGTAAAAGTTGACCAAGAAGCATAGTTATATGCTTACATTCTATCAGATTTACGAAGAGTTCATTTAAAAGGCTGTTCCATCTAGTCCTGGATCTTTCCAGATGGTCTCGAGGACCACGCCATCACCATCTCCTCAGCGGCGAAGCACGTAATAGGTCGTGAGAAGTCTCGAAAGAGGATTCTTGAAAGAAAGAATGTTTTGTCTGTTTTATTATCAATTCTATAATTTGTGGCTGTTGATTGGAACATACTTTGTACATGTTCTCAAATATTAGATAGAAATCTCATTGAAGTTGAGTCCTCTTCCTCAGTGAAATCAGACCGCAAAATGCGTGGTGTCGCTGGAGACCCGCTGGCGATTCTCCACCAAACTCTGCTGCGGTGGCAGAGGCGCCATATTCATTGCACATAGTTATATTAATATGGCGCATTAGCGCTCCACCTGTTATGAAAAATTTGAACTATTTTTGACGCATATGATTCTTTTAAAAATAAATTAATTTTCTACTGCCCTTACTGCAATGATAAAATAATGGGAGGGTAGTAGAAAATTGATTTAATTTTAAAAGAATCATACGCGTGAAAAATAGTTCAAATTTTTCATATAGTTATATATAAATAATTTATCGAATTATCATTTTAAGATAGTGCAGACTAGAGCATGTATTGACAAGATTTCAATTAAATTATATTATTCGAAAAAGAAAAAATAAACACTATTAAGGTAAAAGGTTTCTTTTAATTTTGATTTTCGCAAGCTTTCGAGCAAAATTTCTGCTCTTCAACGGGCATATACTTCTATATACAATATAAAGATGAACTTTGTACAGTAATAATTGAAAATGTGTTATTGGCATGTGCTCTCGTGGACGTGCATCAAACTATTTACAGCTAAAATGTTAATTGTCTAGTGGAGGGATCAAGTCGAGCCAATATATAAAACGGAGGCAGCCAACATTAGATTTATTAGCGCTAGGGAACTAATGTACACACACAAGTAATGAGGTAAAAGACCGGCGGCGCTCAGATATGCTGGGAGGGAATGATGATGCCATTAACTTCACCCACATCTCAACAGCTATCAGTCTCCTTCATCTTTCCCCATCAAATCGCCCTTCAATTTGCCTAAACATGGGGAAATATGACAGAAATAGGTCGTGGGATGTCTCGAAAGAGGATTCTTGAAAGAAATAGAGAATGTTTTGTCTGGTTTATTATCAATTCTATAATTTGGCTGTTGATTGGAACATACTTTGTACATGTTTTCAAAGATTAGGTAGAAAGCTCATTGAAGTTGAGCCCCCTTCATCAGTGAATTTATTGTTTGAAAGAAAGAAAATAATGTTTTGTCTGGTTTATTGTCAATTCTATAATTTGGCTGTTGATTGGAAAATTCTTTGTATTTAACATGTTCATAAAGATCAGATAGAAATCTTATTGAAGTTAAAGCCCCCTTCCTCAGTGAATTTATCGTTGGAAAAAAAAGAAAGAATATTTTGTCTGGTTTATTGTCAATTCTGTAATTTGGCTGTGTAATGGAACACACATATTTTGTATTTATGATATATCAAGGATCAGGTAGAAAGCTCATTGAAGTTGAGCCCCCTTCCTCAGTGAATTTATCGTTTGGAAAAAAGAAAATAATGTTTTGTCTAGTTTATTGTAAATTTTCTAATTTGTGTGTGGCTGTGTAATGGAACATATTTGTACATGTTCACAAAGGTCAGATAGAAATCTCATTGAAGTTAAAGCCCCTTCCTCAGTGAATTTATCGTTTGAAAGAAAGAAGAGCCAAGAAATACTTTCACAGAGGAGTGCTCCAAACCTGAAGGCCATTTGAATTTAATTCCTTTTTTCTTATACCTCTTAATTCCTGTTTTTAGTTCAATTATATTGATGCTTGTCATTTATAAAACGTATACATAATATATAAACCTATTATAAATTTATATATTATAAAATAATTGCAGACACAGCACAACTACAAGTAATAATCTGGAAACGCTATATTGATGATATACTATGCATCACAAAAGTTGATCTTTCCACCATTCTGAATTTTTTGAATAATCTCAAACCCTTTCTAAAATTCACCTTTGAAATAGAAGAAAATAACTCCCTACCGTTTCTAGACATACAACTAACCAGAAACCAAGATAGAATTGAAACTCGAATATACCGAAAACCTACCCATACTGGAAGCTATCTGAACTTCAATTCATTTGGTCCCATCCACCATAAAATTTCCGTGGTAAAAACTCTTTCAAAAAGACTAATCACACACTTTTCAACAAACAATAACGACACAAAAAAAGAAAGAACCAAAATATTTCAAGAACTACTTAGCAATAATTACCCTAAACCGTTTATCAAAAAGCATTTCTACAGACCGAGAATATCATCCACAAACAATAGACAGACTTCATCCCAAAACATTTTTTGCTCCCTACCATACAGCTATGGCTGTGAAAGAATAGCTAGAAAACTAAAATACTACAATATCACAACAAGATTCCAATCTACCTCGAATCTTAACAACATCCTCCGCCATCCTGATACAAAAAGATCACTGAACCAAACAATAGAACCAATGTCATATACAAAATACCATGCAAGTCTTGCCAAACCGTCTACATAGGAGAAACCGGTAAACAATTAATAGGAAGAATCAACCAGCACAAATCAGCCCTAAAACACCATAACCCGACCTCCTTATTAGTAGATCATGCTCTCATCAATAGCCACATTCCAGACTTTGAACAAACATCAATAATATACCAAGATATAAAAGAAAAGCACAGCAGGCTATTCTTGGAGAGTTGGAGTTCTTTGGAAGACAGAAATAGTATAAACCGAAAGATCGATATACCGGACATGTACACACAATTTAGATGCTCCTAGAATAGGAACCTTTATGTATATATGAACTTCAGTGAAATGTCTTCATTCATAATGCAATAGCCGAATATTTATTTTGTATATATAGATATTTACTTTTCACTCTATTTATTCATTTATTTTAATTAGTATTGTACGATATTTATTTGCATACATTACATTTTCATTTGGATGATTTTCGCCCGAGAGATTGTGAGACGCCCGTGTCTCAAGTGTAACGCGCGGCTTGCCGCGAAAAGGGATGAGATCCTAGAAAAAGATGGTCGTTTAGCCCATCGAAATATCGGAAATAAAAATATTATTTATTGAATCCAAGATGTGCCCTTTATGAACAAATTTATATATATATAAAATAAGAATTTTAATTACTACTATTATTTTTTATTTTAATTACTCTGTCTTTATTTCTTTTTCTACTATGAATATTTTCACTTATTTTTTTTTCTTTCAATGTTCCCCATATATGACGCGTAACTACCGAAGCTTTTACCTGTGTGAACCTTGTTATAGCCCTCTCCTAATTGTTAATAATTTTTTTTAAAAATATTTTTGAAATATTTTTTCTTTATACTTCATATCTTTGATTTCCCTATTTTATTTCTACTTTACAACTTTTTTAAATGTTGGTTTAAATATGAATATTAAGAGAGAATTTAATTTTTATACTATAATATTTACAAAAAAAATAATAATAATTTAAAACCTATTCTAATATATATCATTAAATTTCTTAAATGTTCTTGATATAAATGAATTGCAACTATTTACAATATAGTTTGACATTGATATTTTACTGACTTTTATCACTTGAGGAGGATTTTCGGTTAGAGCTAAAACTAAAATTAATAAAGCTTATAAAATTGTCTGTAAAAACTGTCACTTATGATTATAAAGACAAACTAAAATAAATCGAATATAAAATAAAACCATCAAACGAAAAAAAATCTTTTGTTGCTTAACACAATTTATTTGTACAAAAGATGAAACAATTGTGATGTATAATACTCAATATATATATAATTGGCGACGAAACCGCTAGAAGGGTTCACCACTGATGAGTCAAGCACTTCCGCTATATTTTTTCATCGCAATAAGGATAGTAGAAGTTTGTTTTATGTTTAAAAGAAACATCGTGCTTTAATGATTCCATTCTTAAATAAATATGGACAAAATCGACAGTATACTTATTGGGAGCCGGCAACCCACTGGTCGATATATCACTGCGGTGACACCAAGGAATCTAAAGTCGACTTTAGTCATGTTTACTGTTATCTTCTGATATCACTATTTACACTTTATATCTCTTTGGTGATCATGTATCCAACTGTAAATGTTGATTTTTCATTTCCAAATAAAATTTTAGGATAAATACCGTACTTTCCTGATAAAATCATGAAAAGTCGGGCTGTTGTCCCTCATCAACACGGTATCTCCTGTACCTCAATGATTCACCAAGCTGGTAAAGAGGTTCCTTAATAAATCAATGTAAATTAATTTTTAATCAATATATGCGCTGAGTATCAATGTTCAATTGATATTTATCCCAATAGATGGCAGTAGTTTGAATCACATTATCAGAAGATGTCGCTGTCATTATTTATACAACAAACAACTATGGAGTGGTAAAAACCATCTCTGGGAATAAAGTGACAAAAGAGAAAAACTGAACATATACTTGCTTTTTGAAAATAATCGTTTAAACGTATTTGAATAAATTTATAATTATAATTGTCATCAATCGTTAATATTTATACTATTTATTTTTGTAAGTGTGTTGCCTTTTTTCATCAAATATTATCTATATAGACCTTACTACAATGATATCATGGCAGTAAGGTCTGTAAAGATCATATTTGATGATTATGTGAAAAGAAACGCATTGGTAAAAATAATTATTATAAATATATTAGAATAAAAGATTTTAACAATAATGTAACGTTTATAGTGACAAAATTTGATGATATATGTGAAAACAAACATATTGTCAAAATATAATTATAACAAATATTAGAATAAAAGATTTCGATATTTAATGATTTCATTAATGTCAACATCGCACTGTTAGAAGTAAGATAGATGGAACTCCTGGATCAAAGAAGGTGTCTTCCCCTCAACACAACAGAATATGTCACCAAGCCATTCTGGCCCAATAGTGAGTTCACTTTAAGTTTTAACGAAAATCTAACATCGATCAAATTGGGAAAAATAACATTTTCCCTCCTTTTGTTATATTTGGCAGATAATATATACAACTATCTTTTGAACTGGGAAAGAGAGGGAAGGGAATTTTGAAGGAATTGCTTTTGTATGTTTGTATTTTTTCTCTTTTTTCCTTGTATATAGCCAATTTGTTATGGTGTTAGAAATGTATTGACGCAAATATGCCTGAGTTTGGGATATCGTGTTATAGGATGTTAATAAAGTTAAATTTGTTATATTTATAATGGAACACAACACAGTGAAGCACATAAACTCTATGATAAGGAGCACACACGCAATTTGGATTATATTA